TGCACAAAAATACATGTCTCAATTAACAAATTTGTCCTTAAAAAGGACACTCACGAGTGTGTGAATTACCAGGGATTGCTAAGGATTACCAGGGATTACCAGTGATTACCAAGTCTGTGTTCACCTGATTACCACAGTTGGGCACAGAGGTGCCCCCTCGGTCTCAGGTAAGTCATAGCGTTTCACTCTCTTATCGCCAACGAAACGCCAAAGTACAGTGAAAAAGGAGTGCAATCACATGTAATCTTTACCCACCAAGACCAACAAAAGTACAAGTCAAGTGGCTGGCCCAGCAGTCAGGCCGTCAGCTTCCGAGATGCAGCACGCCTCGCCGGCCCGCGCCTCCGCGCGACAGAGCGTCGCGGTCCTCGTGATCGCCTTAATCATGCCGCTCCTGCTCAAGCAGTGCGTGTCTTCGGCCGCACCTGAGGTCAAAACGACCGCGGCGAGCCACGCTCGGGAGCCGCTGCGCATCCTCGCCCTCATGACGATCGACACAATGAGCCACCACATCTGGATGTCGGCGCTGACGGTGGAGCTCGCGAAACGAGGCCACCTCGTTACCTCCATCGACATCCACAAGCACAGCGAGAACCCACCCACCCTTAACACGACTATCATCGAGACGGCCTTCAGGGTATTCGATGATCCAGAGGACATGGGGCGTTGGTTCGCGGCCTCGGTGGTGAAGCAGATCAGTATGCTTCAGAGCATGTCAGAAGAAGACTGCAAGCGTGACCTAGGCTCGCCGACCATGCAGCGTCTGCTTGACCCGGCCTTTAAGGGTGCCTTCGACCTCATCATCTTTGACTACATGTCAGACTGTACGCTGGGCTTCGCCCACCGCTTCAACTATCCCGGCATGCTCGCCGTGTCTCCCTTCCCAGTTTCACCGTGGATCGACGACCTGATGTACAACCCGCAGGCGCCGTCGATCCTCGCGCACACCATGAAGCCCTTCCCGCACCCCATGAACTTGTGGCAGCGCACCTGGAGCCTCTTTCTCCACGCCCAGTACAAGTTGACGGTCTGGTGGCGGCGGCCCGTGCAGGACGGCATTATCAAGAGATTCTTCGGCGACAAAGCTCCGAGGGTGGAACAACTGAGGCAGCACGTGCACGTGGCCCTCGTCAACGAGAACACAGTATTGGGGGCGGCCAGGCCCTTGCCGCAGAGCCTCATACCCGTCGGCGGCATGCACGTCAAACCCGCCGACCTGGGCAGGATCCCGGCGGTGAGTCCACTTGCACAGGTGCAGCAACACCTGTTGCGCGTGAAGGACTCGATAGCCGCCAGGCATCACGCACACACTTTACTTGTAGACGAGTATTCCAGCACTGCTTAATAGTAATCCTACCCCGATCGTAATTCTGACAACCACGCTGACCGCTGTTTGCAGGACCTGCGCAAGTGGATGGATGAAGCGGAGGACGGCTTCGTATTCGTGTCGTTCGGATCTATTATGAGGGGGAAGGATATTGATCTCGTCAAGAAGCGGGCGCTGATAGAGAGCTTTGCAGCCCTGGCACCCGTCAGGGTGCTGTGGAAGATCGAGCCGGACGCGGTTGCTGCTCAGCCGGTGGCCGCCAACGTGAGGGTTGAGGCATGGGCGCCACAGAACGACCTGCTCGGTGAGTCGCACGGCATAAGTTTAAGGTTGGAGTATGGGTCTCAAAATTTTAGTGGTTGTCAGAGGTAGGTATCGTCAGATACTCTTACAATAAGGATTCCGAAATCAGAATGAGGTGGGAAGTAGAAAACGGAAATCGCTCATGTTGGCTTCCGTATCGTTGTGCCCTGCTTGCTTCCGCATTTCGGCTTTACCGGAATGTTTTCCTGCACGGCAACGCTAAGGGTAGCGCCTGCGAAGCCCGTGCTTCGTGGATTCATCAACCCGACAAGCAGCTATGTGGGTGGAGGCGGTGCTGCGCGGGGTACAGTGCAAGGAATACAGCCGCTAGGCCAACAAACTCCAAAGTTTTCTCGCGTTCTCTTGGTGACAGACGCTCAGTGTTAGAACTCAGGGGGCACCGTTAAGTTTGGTGCGAACCCTCCAATGACAATTTTAGAAGGTAAAACAGGGCAGGCCAGGTATGCAATGAATGCAATTACGTGAGGTTGTAACAAAAGTAGGTGGGTTATGGGAAACGAATTTTTTATAGCGATATGATGATAACATTAATCTTCTATTCTTATTTTTCGGGTACATAATATGATGATGATTTTCACCGAGAATCTCCCCCAGTCCATCCTAACCTGCGCCTCTTCGTCTCGCATTGCGGGGGTCTGAGTGTGCAAGAGGCCTCATACCACGGCGTGCCCGTCCTCGGGACGCCCGTAGCTGTCGACCAGTTCGTGAACCTCGAGAAAGTCGTCAGCATAGGCATGGGCCGCCGGATGCCGTACACAGAAATCACAAAGGAGCGCTTCGTGAACGAGATAAAGGAGATGCTTACCAACCCTAGGTGAGAAGCGAAGTGTGCACGTACACTGAGGCCGAGGGGGCGACAACTCCGGGAATCATTTGTGCACCTGCCTGGGAATCATCAGAATAAGAATTAATCGAAATCAACAAAAATCGCTTAACTTAAGCGGGTAACTAATGGGACTAGTACGAATGAGGTATTTTATTGGTGTGAAGAAGATCAGGAAGAACAAGCCAGAATATAACATGCCTTCAATTGCGTTTCGGAAATCGTCTGCTCTAACATTGCAACTATTTCCGAAAATTAGTTGAAGGCTTGTTATGTCGTCGCTTGTTTTTCCTGATCTTCTTCATACTAATAAGTTGTTACCCACTCGACTCGACTAAGGCTAAGCTCGCGCAACGCCCACGGATCTGTGGGTAGGCAACCCATCCGGCACACGAG